TAAGTGAAATCCCGTCCGGCATTTTACCTAACAGAAAATTATAACACTTACACTTTAGATAGTACCAAGTATCTATAAATGTATTACCGGGCTTAATAATATTTATAAGTATATTACAAAGAAAGCGGGCACCCGCTAGTACCTTGGAACTTTGATTCGATTTACTCCAAAAGGACTGTCAACTTACTGTGTAATCAAGAAACACAATGCTAACGATTTGATAATTTTTGAATAAAGTTGCGTTTAACGTTCCTTTTTCTAAAATGAAGGTAATCTTATACTTTTTATCATTGCTATAGTTATCTCAGACGTGCGTTTTCTTGTTACGTTTTTAGTTTAGAGTTTTCCAAATGTTTTAATCGGTAATTAAAACATTTGGAAAACTCTTAACAAAAACTGAAAAAAATGATTAATTTCAATAAATTCCTGTTTATTTTAATCATCATGAAACGCACTTTCTGTATGTATAACTTTGATGAACTTTTGATCGATTTTTAATATTATTAATACTTAATTCTTTTGTTAAGAGCGGACGCGAGCTGAGAGACATTTGAGAAATAGGTATTTGAAAAAACTATTGCTGTCGCGCTTTGGCAAATACCGTGCGATAAAGACAACAATAGGTAACGCTGAAATATGCGTATTAAAAATTGCAAAATTCTAGGTTTGGCTCTCGACAATTTCCTCCCTCCGAAAATTTGATATATGTATAAGAAATTTTACCCCTGGAATAAAAACTAGTTATACAAGGCTTCCATGTTTTGCTTTTTTGTAAATGCTTATAGATTCTTCACACTAGACGTCTTTAGTGGTGACAAAAATTGATTATATTTGTCATTTTTGAGGGCTTCTAGTTTCTTTGAAGAACAAGTTATCGAGAAATGAAAGACAGGAGCATAGAATGAGTAAAATTATATTTTATGTATGAAAATCAAGTGATAAAAATCAAGGAGGAATCAGTCGATAACGTTTGTATGGAAAAAATATTGCCCGCATCCCCTCTTAATAATTATTACATAAGTTAATTTTATTAGTAAAAAGATCCCAGTCTTTTATCAATAAAAGACAATAAAATATAAACTTTTTTTTTGAACAATTAAAAATTATAATTACTCTTAAGGATTATGACGGCAAATATAAATATGTCAAGTTCAATAATTTATTTTAAAGAGACTTAAGTGCTCCCACACATTACTGCGAATTGGCATTGCATCGCAAATATCTGCGAGCTCGCACAAATGATCCGCAAGATCTTCCGATCTGATTCGCATCGCTCATTCCTGCGATATTACGTCACAGTTGGTGACATTTTAGTCCAAAAATAATAATAATAAGATCATATACTATAAAGTTCCTCTGCACAGATTTTAAAATTTTAAATTATAGTTAAACCAAACCAAAAATGGAAAACAATACCATTTTTAGCAACCCAAAGTTTTACTTATGTCACCAGTATCAGCTATTTTTTTGACATTTCCCCAAACGGATTGTTACCAAGGACGCCTTGGACAGCTGCGCCTGTTGCTCGAGTGTGCTGCTACTATACAGCCAATAGGAGGCTTGAATTTCGTTAGCAGCCTGGTAGCCTTAACGGATGTGTTTGATTAGTCATGAAGATGACATTTGAAATAAGTGTGCTGTTTTTTATATTATCCATGTCATTTTGGATGGCTTTTTTTAGATTTATTAGTTTAGTGTCATAAAAATTTGATTGGTCTACTCGCTCTTTTTGATTGCATGTCGGCAAATTCCGTCCCTGGCAGTGACGACGCACAATTTATACAATGTCCTAAGTGTTCACAACCTCAGGTTTTTAAAGGTGACTGGGGCTTAAATATACACATTGGTAGGTTTCTTAAATATCCTGCGTCTGTGCCAGCAGTTTCTCCATCCCTATATTCGGACAACCAACCACTTTGGCAAACTTTTGGTAATCTTAAAAATTCATTTCCCGTGTTAAAAAGAATCTCTCTTTCTGCACGGCCCTCAGTCGCTATTTTGTTATCATAATGAATCGAACATGTGCTTAGAGTAAACACGTCTGAGAGATGGGTAGAACTCCTTACATTTACTTGTAGAATTTTACATGTTAATCAAAATACATAGTACTTGTTCTTCATTTATACAAAAATTAAGGTGAATTGCAGCCTGAATCATTCTGTTCATTCTTTAATAATTCCTCCCTCTCGGCCTCCAAATTCTAATGATGTTGTCGCCGTCAACTGCCAGGAGACCCTTAGTGCTTTCGAGGACAAACACCCACCTCCAGCACTGACTCTTCTTCTACCTTTGTCACCTGATACAACACATACTTATTAAACAAGCAAAGATGTGGACATCTCAGCCGCGATATTTTCGTTTAAAAGTGGCTCTGCCAGTGGTCTAGATGGTCTGACACCACAGCATTTAAAAGACCTCCTTTCCGTCTCAGTCGGTGACGCTGGCAGAGTCTTATTACATAATACCACTCTTTTGGTAAGCCCTAATGCTATCCGGCGAGGTTCTTGAAGATATTGTCGAGATCCTTAACGAGGCCTTAATTGCTGTAAAGAAAAAAGACGGCGATATTCGCCCTATAGCTGTTGGCTCCACCTTTCGCCGTATAGCATCCAAAATTTGCTGTCACTATATTTTACCGACAGTTTCAGTTGATTTTCAACCGGTTCAGCTTGTCTTTGGCGTCAAGGGTGGTTGTGAAGCAGCTGTTCACGCTCTTCGCACCTATCTGTCGCTGGAAGCTTCGGCGGTGGTGCTGAAGGTGGATGTTAAGAACGCCTTTACTTTAACTCTGGTGACAGAGGTGTCTTGCTTTCAGTAATCAAAGAAAAAGCTCCTACTATTTATAATTATCTTTGGCAGTGCTTTCATTAAATTCCATTTAGTATTTTTTGAGTGAAAGAGTAACAAAGATCCATACAAACGTTAAATTGAAATTAAAATCGCAAGTCGTTGATATGCAACTTTAAATCCTTGTAGATCTCAAACAGTCAGATAAAATAAAAAATGGTGTAAGGAACCTAAATATGATTTTCGATTATATAGACAATAACATATTTCGTCAACTTATTTTTTTTACTTTGTAACAATATGGCATTTTGATTACTATCATATCTTTAGTAGCACTGGGAGTGCGATTTCGATTAAGACGAATCGATTGGTGTATTAATCATCAAAATCGGTCTCTAGTGTGCCACAAAGGAACAAACATACATATATAGACTGTTAAACACTATACCCTGTCTCTCACTCTCCGCGCTCTTGCATTGCGCAGTCGGGTAAAGAGCCAGTCAGTGTGTACTCCTGAATAAATATAACATAATTCATTATAAGTTATACATACATAAACATACAATACATACATATAAAATTTATACGAATAAATAACGGCATGTACTGTTAAAGAGTAGAATGCAAAGTCAGTTTTATGAGTAGGACATTTGAAAAGGGATTTTACTCATTTTGGAAGGCATTTTAATAGCGTTAAAATAGCCTTAATAAATTGTTTCATTAAATCTATTTTTTATGCAACGGAGACATTAAATAAACATAGGGTCCATAACGAATAAGAATACATCACACTTGATAATAAATTGTATCATTAAACCTAATTTTTTATGCAACTGCTGTAATATTTAAGTAATATTGCTTTGTTTATACATGTAGTCATCGACTAAACTATCAACCACTAATGAGGAAGAGGAATGGAGGGGGGGGGGGGGGGGGGGGGGTTACGGGGACCCTCCTGCCTCCTGTGACTTTAAAAAAATGTACAATAAAATGCTTTTTTATAAAAAATAAAACCCGACTTCTTAAAATCAAAACCACTAAAAAGTAAAATAATACATTTTCTTTACTTAAAGTCGAATTAACATTTGAGCCGGTGTCATGCATATTAGATCTCACTTACTTTTAACTGCATTTGGCATGGTGTTGGCATTGACGTGGTACCAACACCATTAATGTTAATTTGACTTAAAATTTACTTTAGATGTAAGTAAAAAATATTTTTTTAAGCATATAGGTAACTGCTAGATATTTAAAAAAATACAACATTTTTTTAATATCATGAAGAATATGTATTATTTTTTTACTTCTTAGTCGTAATATGAATAAAAAAAATGCAGTGCGTGGATCAGCACTAAACCCAATCCCCGCGAATACGTTTCTGTCAAAAACTACTCTGTATGCAAAAAAACCTCATACAATAACATCCAAATATGACAAAGAAAAAACTTCCTAAGTATGTATATTTATAGACTGCAGTGATATTCAAATATTTAAACATACCTACCGTATTCAAATACTTAAATGCGCATTCATTTTAGTCACTTGAAAGTCAAGTGAATTTTTTCCTTATCAATTTTTAGAAATTATTCTAAAACTGTTTGATAGTCCTGTTAATGCCGTTACATTAACAGAACTTTCAAAGTTACTAAAACGTAGTTATTTTATTGTAGGTATTGAATGGTATTATGAATATTCTTTGAGGAGCTCGATGGTGCAGGGCGATACGGATAGCGCGTTCGGCTTGCGATCGTGGAAGATAAACAACTATCGCAACAGTCGGTCATTAGATGGGTGACCAAAAACTTATTATCTTGACCTCCTCCGTGCTTCGGAAGGCACGTTAAGCCGTTGGTCCCGGCTGCATCAGCAGTCGTTAGAGCCAATCAATCCGCACTGGGCCTGCGTGGTTGTTTATGGCCCAATTTCCCTATTCCATCCATAGGGCAGGCCTGTGCCCCAGGTGAGGAGATATTAATAGACTGGTGATGATTGTTTGACAAGAATAACTCGTCATTTTATCATCATCATATCAGCCGTATGACGCCCACTGCTGGACATAGGCCTCCCCCAAGGATCTCCACAACGATCGTCATTTTATGAATTTATTAGAATTCCGAAGTCTTAAATAATTTCGCTACTTCCATATATCCATCCTTTATGTGTGATCTCCGTTAGGAAATGATTAGCTGACAATAAAATTTCCTTGATTTCAGTATCCAAACACATGCTGTCAGACATCGAGAAGCTTCCGGGAGTGCAGCTCGGAGATTTCCTGCTGACCTTCGAGCTGGATGAACCCAGGCCGTCCGTCCAGGAGATCGCAACGAAGGAGCTCCGGGAAAATCCAGATAACATTAAGACAGCTGTCGAGGAGTTGAGGAAGCTGCTAAAAGGTATTTCATTTCTGTCACTTCTCTAGCAAACGCCCGAGAGCCTATTGTTTCTTTTAAGGTACTATAACCGCAGGCGACACTGCGTCTAGCACCTGCGATCGATCGACCACAGTGTCGCCTGTGGTTGTTTTTCCAAGCATGGCGACATACTACGACTGCACAATGCATAAAACTACGCGTCAGTCACTGCAGTCTGCGCTGCAGTCTCTACAAGAAACAAGCGGTGTCGCCGCAGTTTGCGGTCTGCAGCCCGTCTCGGGAGCTTTAGGCGTCCATTAGACGCTCATGCAGATTGCGATCAATTCCACCAGTCATGAATAAAAAAACCGTTGGTTACTAAAAAATCATCAGTCACCGTACAAGACGACAGGTAATCCGTCAGAAACATAACCTTGACTGCCAGCACACTGACTGCAAAACCTAACTTCTAATGGACGCTGTATGCATACTTATATTTTTTGCATAGTAGCTATTACTTTTTACCGCACAGTAAGTAACAGTCAAAGTAATGAAAATTTAAATAAGGCAAAATTATTTAAAATATTATTTACGTCTAAATTGCCAACTTTTGTTTCGTTTATTTTTTATTTAATTAATTTTATTAATATTCTTGATATTTGAACTGATATTCAGATAAAATCTGTAGATGTAAGATTGATCACATAAGAAATTGGTATGTCACAGAATACCTGTCGATCTCATGATATCTTTAGCATCTGTCGAGGTAAATTATGTTAACCACGCCTAGCCTGGTCTGAATATCGTAATTACATTAACACAGTTAGAATATCCAATAATAGATTAGATCAAGTCATAAATCAAAATAATTATGCATACAGACGCGGACACAACCAATGGACGTAACACATTTATTTAAGTATGTACTTAAATTTACTGAGATATAGAAAGAGAACAACACATAATAGTTAATGACGTTGGATGAGTTGATAAATTGAATTTTCGCAAAAATCAGGATTCTGCAAAAAACACGGATAAATAGACAAGGCCGAGGATCTTGCTCAATCTTACTGTTAACGATTTTTTTGCGCTTGGCCGGTTGCTCGCGCGCCATTGTTACAACCACGGATTACAGAACAAAAGGCAAATGGAGCGCACGGAACACGTAATGCGTGACACCACAACAAATATGAAAGGAAAAGCGAATATCAATTTCGCGTCAGTACGATTCAAAGCGCCGCGTTGACAGTACATTCCGTAAATTCTTAGTTTTAATCAAAACAATGCCGTCCTGTGCCTTCAAACACATATAGAAACACTTCTTGAAGCCAAAAAAGGAAGATGGAATATCATTTCATAGGTAGATACACTTAATTTGCCTTTATTTTTAGTATTAATTTTAGGGCTAATTCGGAACACAAAACCCCGAGAGAAGACGAACGTTGTTATTAGTTTACACTGAAAATATTTCCCTAAAACAGGGGTAAATTCATGGGAAATAGGAAGATTAATGTCTTTTTTCGAGTGAGTCAGATTCAAAGTACTAAGTACCTACTTTTTGTTACATCATAGGTATATATTACAGGTATTTATGTTTATAATTTGACTTCAAATTATTAATTGATTCTTTCTAACCCTCTTTATAACACAGCACATATTTCTTTGGATTATTTTAAGTTGGTTGGTCTTTTTAGGGTTCCGTACTCAAAGGTTAAAACGGAACCCTATCGCTGTCACTATATCGTCTATCTGTCCGTATGTCACGAGTCTCTAGAGCATAAACGGAATGAGTTGAAAAATTGAAATTTTGGTATTTTATGTTAAATTAAAAATTCAATTTAAATAATTTTTAGCTTGCTTCCATTATATGAAAAAAAAATCTACATCATTTTTATATATTTAATACAACAAACGTTTTTTTTATCGTTTTTATCCTTATAATACCAACAGATAGACGCTTGAAATATTCATAGAGTATTTAGTTGTACATTAACTATAACAATAAATAATTTAATTAAAAACAATATATGTACGGAATCGTGCGCGAGTCCAACTCACGATAGGGCAGTTTTTTGTTTTTTTGTCAACCAAAAAATTATGGACTGAATGCCAGATATAAATAATGACTTGCTCTAACATCACGTTGGCACTTAATTACTTCCTATGATTTTATGGTAACTATGATTAATGCAGACCTGCCTACGCTTACCTTATTGTGTCGTCTGCTCATCTCATTTTATAGCCGAAGATGTTTATTCTACGAACAAGGTTCGACGATTATTAAACAAAAAGCAAAACCGCCATAATTTAAATGTGTATGAAGTATGTGCAGCTGCAGAAACCGTTATACAGAAAGTTAACTGACAGTTGGAGGATGAACATCAAGCCTATGGAGAAATACATATGTATGCACATATACGACTGCACTATTTAGCTAAGTTATAAACAAATGCCAGGGGGCCAATCGCCTAACGGAAATGCTTTGGGAAACGCTAACGCTTACGATTTTATATTGTTATTTCTAGCCGCCTGAGGTTTTCGAATACCTCACGCTCATTTTTTTTAATATTGTTATTACTAATGCAAAAGAAAAAGAAAGAGCGCGAGGCATTTGAATACCTCAGGCGGCTAGAAATAACAAAATAAAATCTTAAGCGTTAGCGTTTTCCAAAGCATTTCCGTTAGGCGATTGGCCCCCTGGTGTATCGATGCTAAAAGACAATATTTCAAGAAATTGGTGAAAAATAAAGGTGGCTAAGACATTATATTGTTATATTATTATTAAGAGCTAAATTAAATAAATTCTCTTTAAAAAAACCTATAAATTACCTATTTCCTAACTATAGCGGCAGGACAGGAGTCTAAAAAAATCTAATAAATTGCACATAAATAAATAAGAATTAAACTAAATCCAATATATTAGTCCAAAAGAATAAAATAACATTTTTGGGATCGGTGCTAATGCACGCTTAGTACAACCGTAAAACATGAATTCATTTGAAATCCCTTTTTTTATCATCTAATATTAGGTAGTGGAAATAAAAGGCAAAAAGATATTTGTGAAAAAAATCTGCAGAACAGTTTTTAAAATACTAAGTTATTTAGAAAAACATAATCCCGGCGGTCATCATAAAATACATGTGTTTTTTTTTGTTTCACATTTCACGAGTTTGATTCCCAGTTTTGGTAGGCGATATTTTAAAAACTGTAAATGGAATTCTACTTATTCTTAAAAATAATGATGTCTTCTTTCAGTAAAATATCCTATCATTAATATTTAATATACTTTCCCTCCGTGTGAAAAACCCGTGGGACACTCTGTATATCTTCACCTAATAACAAGGAATCTTAAATTAGAAAAAAGTTACCTAGGTTATGAAGATTATGAATATCTTTAATTTACAACTCATTTCTTGGCACCCAACTCGCCTGAGTCATTTCTATCCATTGTCCTTAATTTTGTCGTGACTCTGTTCAACAACGAAACAAAGACAATGAAGGTGTGATTAAACTTTTTGTCCAATAACGGCTTTGTTCACATATTAATGTATTTATAAAGTGTTAATCCGCTTTTGTAATGCTTGGGTACTTATTTTTATTGTTGCAGACGATAAAGACTTGTACGTGCCCTTAGAAAGTGATGCGTGGCTCATCAGATTCCTCAGGCCTTGTAAATTTTACCCTGAAAGCGCCTACGATCTGGTAAGTTCATCATCAGCCTATTAATGTCCCCACTGCAGAGGCACAGGCCTTACATATGGATGGAATAGGGAGACCGGGCCGTGATCCACCACGCGGGCCCAGTGCGGATTCGTAGGTGGTAACGACGTACTGCAGATGCAGCCAGGACCAACGGCCTAACGTGCCTTTTGAAGCACTTAAGACTTTTCGTCACCGCTATTACTGCTTGCAATAACCCCTCAGAGGTAGTGAATTTTGTGAAAATAAAGATGAAAATTATTTTCATCTTTATTGGAATTCTGATTGAGAATTCGAAGAACTACCGCTTATTAGAAGAACACTTATTATACATAATAATATAATGTTTTAATCATTTAACTGTTACATGTATTATAATAAATCTAAAGAAAATATTACTAAAAAAAGTTCACTCGTTTCGGGGATGTGAAACCCCAACACGAACTTTGTCAGCTCCGTAATCGTATGTATCGTCGCCGTCAAATTTTGGACGGAAGGAGCCAGTTTCTTCTTAAGTCCATTAGGGGCGCTGCTTAGTTTCCATAGAAACTTTGTCGATGCGATACGATACGGAGCTGTCAAAGTTCGTACTTGGGCCTGTGGTCGACACTATACAATAAAACAAACTACTCAATTACGGCTGGCCAAAGAGTCCTGATGGCAATTTCAATCAATATTATATTCTGTGAAAAAGAATGTGTACGTTTTCCTTTACAGATAAAACGTTACTATGCGTTCAAGCAAAAACATCACAAACAGTACGACGGGCTGGTGCCAAGCAGGGAAACCAACGTGTTCAACCAGAATATCCTCACAGTCCTGCCCATAAGGGACCACCTCGGCCGGAGGGTCCTTGTCCTTGAACTAGGCAGTAAGTAGGAACGCCTGAACAGTAATACCCTAAAAATGGGGTAAAAGTAGCTATTTAGTAGCTGTCGTTGCCCCGACGATAGCCGGTATAGTAGTGTGCGGCGACATACACGTGTTTCGGTATGTCGCCGCCCGGTGGAGAAGAGCGGGAAACCGTGACGAAGGTGGGTCCGGATACTGACAGACATAGTGATGGCTTGTGGAATAATCGAAGACATGGCCTGGCTGTTACTTCGATTCTACAACCCATGGCTGAGGATCAAACGCCGTGGGGTTAAGAGGCCCGTGCCTACCGACCAGAAGAAATTTAGTTTTCGACAAGTGGGTGACCAAGGGAGAGTCCAACATAACTGGCTCTTCTTCTAGTGAGCTGGGGGCCATTCGCCTAACGGAAATGCTATGGAAAACGCTAACGCTTACAATTTTATTTTGTTATTTCTAGCCGCCTGAGGTTTTCAAATGCCTCGCGCTCTTTTTTTTTCTTTTGCATTGGTAATAAAAATATTTAAAAAAATGAGCGTGAGGTATTTGAAAACCTTCGGCGGTCAGAAATAACAAAATAAAATCGAAAGCGTTAGCTTTTTCCAAAGCATTTCCGTTATGCGAATGGCCCCCTGGTATGTGTCTTGCATTTCCCCACGGTAAAAAGATAGGAAGTAAATGCGATACCGTAAACAACATCAGTATTTTTCATTTCATGCTTAAAACGTTCCTCTTATGACAAAAAGAACTCTTTACTGCATGTAATTAAGGTAACTTTAGACACAAATGGTTCACTCATCACGTTTGCGATCTAATGCATCAATGCCACAATCTCTTTCAGATAATGCAAAATAATATAGTTTCTATTAGTATTTTAAAGTAAATTTTCAAGTAATTCTATAATATATATTCAATACGACTTTTAGAATAAAGTAACTCACATACAGACATACATGAACCCTGAAAACACTTCACTCCTTTTTTGGCAGTCGTGTAATAAGGCTTTCCATTAAGTCCACGGTCAGTAAGTAAATTAATAAGGTATTATAGAGTACTTACATAATAATATTATTATCGACAAGGTTTCAATGGCACACCTTAGCTTACATACATTACAGCTTATTTACTACATTTGTTAAGTTTATTAATAGCTGATTTTAATCAAAATATGTTTATTTAAATGAGTATCATGTCTCGATGATCACTAATGGTCCGTACTCACATATGGGACCTATTACTCGATAGTATTATTCTAAAGCGAGTAAAAATCAACGCGTGGACCGCAACACTCACAACTCTAAGGCTCGTTCATAGGACGCGACGCGTTGACTCGTTTTAGAGTAAAACTATCGAGTAATACCGTATGTAAGTACGGATCATAGAGACAATATTGGCATCCTGGAATATGAATATTTCAGTCGCGATATAACAAAACTACCTTTTTTTGTCTGGGAAATACCTTACGCATCCGTCCATCAACCACTGGAGGAGCGAGAAGAAGGTATGTGGGACTCCTCCCTGTTCATTTCAGCCAGCCAGCCCGCCAGGTATTTATCCGCGAACGGACCCACCCCGATGAAGATGCCCCGGAGCATCAGGAGCTTGTGCAATACGAAAACCTACTAACTACACTAGTATACTATACAGTTATATTTAAATATTCGCTTGTGACAAATGAAAAATCTTGAAATAATTTCAGAACACTGGAATCACAACAAGTGCACCCTGGACGAGGTGTTCAAGGGCTGCGTGCTGTTCCTCGAGGCCGCCATGTTGGAGCCGGAGACGCAGATCTGTGGAGCAGTGGTCATCTTCGACATGGACGGCTTGTCCATGCAGCAGGTGTGGCAGTTCACGCCGGCGTACGCGAAAAGGATTGTTGATTGGCTACAGGTAAGGAATGGCGGCTTGTGAAAGGTTTTTGTGTCTCCTAAAAATATGAAAGTTTGCCTTCATTTGACATTAAGAGGAGCTCGATGGCGCAAGTGGTTAGCGTTTTGGTCAGCGCTCGTTGAAGTTGAGCGACGGTCAGTCCAATAACCGACACCAAAAATTTGCTATCTCAACCTCCTTAGTGCTTTTGACGACCTCCGTGGTCGAGTGGTTTCTACGCCGGGTTTCATGGTGTTACCGACTCGAGAGGTCCCAGGTTCGAATCCCGGTGGGGGCAGATGTTTGTGTGATGAACACGAGCATTTCTACTCCAGTCATGGATGTTTAATATGTATTTCTATATAAATATACTTATATATATACTGTATATGTATTCTATCCGTTACCCTAGCATCCCATAATACAAGCCTTTTTTACCCTTGCTTACTTTGGGGATAGGCTAATTGGTGTGTGTTTAAAAAAAAAAAAAAAAGCACGTTGGTCCCGGCTGCATCTGCAGTCGTTAGCACCCATCAATCTGCACTGGGCCCGTGTGGTTCGTCATGGCCCGAACTACCTTTTTCATCAATAAGGTAGGCCTCAGCAGTGGGGACATAGCTGACGATAATGGGGGTAAACCAACATGTGGTTTCATTATACATATTTAAGATATTTTAAAAACACCCAAATTGCCTTGGAATTTGAGAACTTTCATAATAAAACGTGGTAATTTTGTACGTACTTCGTGGATTAATTCTAACAAAAAAAAATGATTCTAAAACACTAGTGACTGGTCTAAGGTTCATCATTAAAACATATGAAACGACGAATATACAATCCTTTTCCTTTTTGTTAAGGGTACCTCGATCGGAAATAACGGAACTCTTATTGGATCACTCGGTTGTCTGTCTGTCACAGTCGGTTCGCTCGGAATCTACTGGACCGATCAAGTTGAATTTTGGTACAAACATGTATGTCTGTGATTCAAACACGGACGAATAAAGTAAATAAATAAATTCTGAATATGAGGGATACTTTTGGGGAGTGAATTAGAAAATTAAAAATTACAATTTTGCTAACTGTACCGTTTGATATATATCAAACGAAAGGGCTCAGTTTGATGGTTTCAAACATATATTTTTTTACAAATAGAAAATGAATAGTTTAAAATTTTATTCAAGAAAATTGACCTGTCCTTGTCCCCGAAAGAACTGCGTCTAAAAATTTCAAAAGATATGTAATGTACTCTTTGATTTTAGATTTCAAGTAAACCTATGAGCAGTTTATAGTAAATAAAATAAATATTAAAGCTCCCATACAACAGACGTGACATTTTTGTCGGATTTTTGCTCGATATAATATACTTTTTTATGTTGTATAGATACGGAACCTTTTGTGCGCGAGTGAGACTCGCACTTGACCGGTTTTTTTTTTGAAGTCAGCTAAAATTACAGTAAAGTTATAACTTTTACTCTGTTTTATTTTCAGGAAAGCATACCGCTCCGCGTGAAAGGCTTATACATAATCAATCAGCCTTACATCTTCAACGTGGTGTTCCAACTGTTCAAGCCGTTCTTGAAGGAGAAGCTGCGCTCGCGAATCCTATTCATCGGGTCGGACCGCGAGCTGCTGCACAAGCACATCAATGCCAAGTGTCTGCCGGCCTGTTATGGCGGCACCGTCGACATCCCCAAGGTCACCGGCTCGCAGTGGTTAGAGCTGCTGCTGATGTGCGACAAAGAGTTCGAAGGTAGGTCAAGGTTATACAACTGCCTAAAAATTTGTGTACTTCGTCTCTCACACAAACCATTAAAACATTACCTACCTACATCGCACTCTGCTGCATAAGCACATTAACGCCAAGTGCCTGCCGGCCTATAAGGGCGGCACTGTTGACAGCCCCAAAGTCACAAGCAGTGCAACGAAGAGTTCCAAGAAAGTCAAGGTTATGCAACTTTGTTGTTACACAATCTATGAAAACATTACCTACATCGCGAGCTGTTGCATAAGCACATCAATATCCCCAAGATCACCGGCTCCCAGTGGTTGGAGTTGCTGAAGTCAAGGTTACGCGACTGCCAAATAATCAGTCATTTTTAGACGATGGCCAAAAATTTACTATCTCGGACCCCTTCGTGCTTTGAAAGGCTAAAGCCAATGGTTGCGGCTGCAGCTGTAAGCACCCCATCAGCAGTGGCTCTCGTGGGTAATTGCCCTATCTCCCTATTCCATCTATTAGGATCGCCTGTGCCCCAGCAGGAGGTTGATACGCAGTTAAAACGTACATCTTTTCATCTTTTGCTGCAAAATCTTAATACTTGACTAGAAATCAAAAAGTACAATATTTAGCTTTTGTTAGGGCAATCGTGTTTTTTGTTCGGTAAAAGAAGTGACAACCTTTTTCCGAGCTAAAATGACAACATTACAATACGTTTCAATACAATTAGTTTTCCTAATAACAGAAGTGGAGTATATACATTGCCACATAGACACCCTGGACTTTACTGATTCGCGGTAAGTTGCAATAAGCGATAGGTGATTATAATTGCCACATACAATGGGATTTTAGCTTTTGATAGGGCAATCGTGTTTTTTGTTCGGTAAAAGAAGTGACAACCTTTTTCTGAGCTAAATGACAACATTGCAATACGTTTCAATACAATTAGTTTTCCTAATAACAGAAGTGGAATATATACGTTGCCACATAGACACCCTGGACTTTACTGATTCGCGGTAAGTTGCAATAAGCGATAGGTGATTATAATTGCCACATACAATGGGATGGGGTACAGGCCTTCCCTTTGAATAGACCCGAAAATATTGGGCCATCTTGACTCATCGGATGAAATGACATTCAAAGATTAATGTTAATTCTAAGGGGAATTAAATGCGGAAATGCCGCCAGCCTCTTGAGCACCCTACCCTGCCAGCGCAGCGATTTGGGGTCGATTTTTTATATAATATAGTTTTATTTTTAGTTTGATATAAGTATTTAGTTTATTTAGTAGTTTTAATCCATTTTGTGCTTTTAAATAATATATTATTTTAGGAATTTGTATATAATAAAATGTTTGTATATATTCTAAGATGAATAGCAATGCCTCCTTTTTAGGTCTGCTGGCCCACTTGAAAATTAGCGGAAACTCTAAACTCTTGCAGTACCATGGTCCATAGTAATAGTAGATATTTATTGCAAAGAATATTTATAACCACGTGCGTCCCACCGTAAATAAATACCCGAAGAATTCTGACGACTATTTGCAAAAGCAAACCACGAAGGAAGTATATACCTGTTAGTTATATAACTTCCTTGCAAAACACAAAAGAAACCTTCTTCCGGCACTGCATTCCCATTCATTTACGAAAGTGATAAGCTAATGTCACTCACAATAACTGCAGAAAGGGTCAAACTTTCTTCAGTTATTTAACAACTTACTTTCCATAACCTTTATTACTGATCGCTTTACAGTATAAAACGAAATTTTAAATATAAATTGTAATAAGGTATTATAATTTGTTGTTTTATTCATGGCCACCAGTGCTATTCTGTAAAAATAAACTCACTTTTCACCTCGAGATCCGCGAGTGATTTAAAATTTTGAACACGAATTTCAAATAAATTGCAAATCACACCGGGTAATTCCGCGGTGAAAAGTGAGTTTGTTCTTACAGAATAGCACTGCAGAGTGTAGTATACTTTTATTTTCTTTCAGTAAACACACATTACAATACCGACTCTTTGGTAACTTTGGTTGATTACACTCATTATGCATTTGAAATTTACGTAAGTTTGTTAACTTTATTGTTTGTTGTTTCAGCTATCAACTCCTACGGCTACAAGAAGAAATGATCATCGAAAATGCTTTGATAAATACTATAATTGTGTGATTTTAGAGAACTCATATCCTAAGGACCACTATGTAGCGTCATTCTAAGTAGGTACTTAAAGTTAACAGAAAATAAATATTTATTCCATTTACACGAGCATGTATAACAATAGGTATTAATACTTAATAAAACAACTCTGCTACAGAATATTTCAATGATGTTTGTGAAAACAATTTAATATCTACAAAAAGTACAAATATCTATAAAAAAAACCCGTTAAATTGCTCTTTTTTTTTCAAACCAAAGAAACTTTGATTAACATTTTGTGATTTTTTCGAAAATTATCGATGAAATGTAAAAAAATGAATATTTTTTTAATCATGTTGTAAAATAAACAAACTTTAATTATTTATTATAAAAACCGAATAAATACATTCCAAATATTTTAATAGTCTATAATATTTGAAAAGCACATTTTATGAAATATTTCGTGTCATGTTTGTAAAGAAATTCAATACTGAAAATACATAAGGACTTAGATTTAAGTTAATTATTTCTTTGATCTGATTGCCATTTTGTAGAAAATATTTGCTTACCTCAAAGTGCTGTAATTTTAGTATTAGCTATTTAAATATCTTTAAAAATACTTATTTTAGACGGCGTTATGAATTTTTTTCGAGAAAATTCTTTTTTTGTCGTATTCCACATAAAATTTTATAATGTGATAATTATATGAATGCCTAGCAAGGTATTTAGATACTAAATGATAGCCTACTAGATAAGGCTGGCTGTAACTTAGGAGTGATACCTAAGTATACCTTTGAAATTGGAAAAAAAATGACAGCTAATTTAAAAAGAGGCTGATTAAGACTCTCTAATAAAAAAAAAGGCGGCGGCTGTGATACTGGTATAATTGAACATTAATATCCTTTTAAATATGAGAGATCGCAGAATTTTATTTGTAACAAGATAATATGTATTTTTAATCAATTTTTAATTTATTCATATATATGAAATATTATTAATATACACCATTTTAAAGCTCAATTATATTTTGGTACTCGTAAAATAATTAAACTTTATGAACTGAATGCGGGGTGAAAATAGGGATAATATTAGCATATACTTAGGTTAATGTATGTACATCACATAACTATTTTGAAAAATGTACAAAACATTAGAATTAAGTATTAAAATGATGGGGGATTTCTTTTGTCGATTCTTTTATTTTGTGATACCATATTAATGGATGAGGTAGTTGTTATACACAACGTTTACTTTATTGTAACTTGTAACTAAGAACGAAAGTAACTTATATCCTTTTAAAATTTTAATAACCTCATAAATGTTTACATAGGTATAGGAAATTGAAAGAGTATATATAATGCGCATTTATCTCATTCTTATTGTTTTGTGTTTAATGAACTTATAGTAAACAAACTATTAAATTTTGATTACACTATTAGTAAGAAGAAATTCAATATAAACAACAGGTAATCGGTGCCTTATCAAGATCGTCTAAAAGAATATTCTGTCCATCATTCATAAGCGTCAAAATGTAAAATGTTCCATTTATTGTAAGCCATTTTTTATAAAATTCGTTAAATCTGAATTGAGTATTTTATTGTTTTATTTCTATATTATTATAATTATCTCTAGAAGCCATGTTATATTATAATATCATCTGCCCCACTAGCATGACCACCGCGATATAATATATAATAACACGTTTTTATCACACTCAATTGTCAAATTACTATGGAGGTTGACGATTAGACGCGATAAAAGCGTGATATAATGTAAATTGAAGTGCTCATGCTACGGGGACTGGTTGGAGTTAGCCTTTATTAGTATTTATGGCTGATTATTAAAGAGTAATATGATTTTCTGCTGTCCTAGGACAAAATAATCCGTGATACTATTTTAATTTTGCAAGCAACGTTTTCAAAGCAGATAAATAGTTTTTTGTCAAATGTATATAACATCACATACGAATAGGTTCAAGATTTCACGATCATGTAATCTAACATTTTGATAAATGTTATGTACAACAGCGGTCTTATTACAAGTATTTCATTCGAATGTTGTATGTAAGCATATTTCAAAACCAAACGTTTGAATAAGATATTAGATAAATAATTTACTAATTCGGAAAGTATATTTTTTATTTTATATTGCAAAAGAATGCTAATATATTATTGGTTACCTACCTAATTGCGGATTTGAAATACAATTTTGTTTTAATATAGATACAACATATTTTCACACAAATTAATAGAAGATTTCGGTCTCCCATTCTGGACTGGGAGCAAAACATATAAATCACCTGCTGCCGGTTTCCAGAGCAGATTTTAAAAGATTTATTAACGGACATACTTAATGTGTTCTGAACATATAAGGAATTCTCCGTAGTACTTCCAACTGTTTTGTTCGGCAGACTGGTCAACTATTAGTGTCGCCGCACGCGGGCCACACGCCACAGCCACAAACGCCGCCACGAGAAGCTAGAAGTTGCTACTAAAGTGGCTGAAGCGCGCGACAGCGGCCGACTAAGGCAAGGCAGAGAGGGGTGGGGAATCGCGCGAGTGACGTGTGGCGGCGTTTTGTATCGGCGCATTAAGTGGCCGGTGCGGGTCACAAGAAGCGAGGAACGACGATTTGTAGTGTGTGGCGGTCACCGGCGTACCGTGTGTGGCAAGTCCATATAAAGTGTATGAAAACTACAAGCAATATGCCGGTGGCGGCGTTTTGTGGTTGTGGTCGGTGGGCCATGTGCGGCGACACTTAGCGCTGTTTCTGGACCACATCTGCAATGCTATTTTGTAAGAACCAAGTCACTTTTTATATAAGAATCCCTGGTGTGATTTAAAATTAAAACATGAATTTCAAATCTTTTGTTCAAAAAGAGTTTTACAGAATAGCTAGGCTGAGATCCAAATATTTTATGCCATAGGAGGTGTATCACTTAGTTACCTACAAATTTTACTCCGTTAAACAAAGAGATAATAATTATCTTCTTTTGTCTTTCTTGTAGTATCGTATCGTGTTTCTCCAATAGTAGGTAGGTAATTTAGAAAAGTAATTAAGTAGGTCAGATAAAGTATTTTTATTCATATAGTTCAGAATCACAGAAAAGTAGAGAGATAATAAAACTCTTTTACTTTTTAACTTGCATGTTATATTTATAAAAATCACAACCACCGGTCATTTGTCGCAAATATTTTTTACTTTCATAATATTGCTCTGCAGTCTAACTTACTTAAATTGGAATTGTAAAAAAATAATAACTTATTTGTACACCTCTACAACACTCACGTGTGTCAATATTCAACACTGCTTTAAAATTAGTAAGTGCCTATTAATATAATTATTTATCACAATACAAATATCTCGAGGCCTTTTACCGTAATATAATGTGTTTCTTTTACCGTAATACATAATTTCATTCAATATAATGCGTTCAGACATTTTAGTTCCCGCAGTTCAATTCTGTAAGAGCAAACTCATTTTTCACCTCAATATCTGCACTTTGATTTAAAATTAGAACACGAATCTAATATATAAAATTCTCGTGTCCCGGTGTGCGTAATTGAACTACTCCGACACGGCTCGAACGATATTCGTGAAATTTTAAATACATATTGAGTAGGTCTGAGAATCGGACAACATCTTTCAACATTTTTCATCCCCCTAAATGTTAAGGGTGGTCCACCCTTAAATTGTTAATTTTTTTGGACAACATTATTTGTTTCTGTTTTTTTATGATGGTACATCATATAGAAATACATACAACCCTACATTTTCACCCATCTATCACCAACCCCTATTTTTTATGGCGGTACGAAGTTCGCTGGGACAGCTAGTTTTATAATAAATTTCTAATTACACCGGCGAATTTTACGGTGAAAGGTGATTTTGTTCTAACAGATTAGCACTAGAGGTAACAATAAATACTAGTTCAATTTAAATTTCTCTATTATTATAGTTATATGTAGGTACTAGGTAATATAAAACAGTTTCATTCAAGTCATTAAATAAAAATGTGAAAACAAAATTATTTTTTTCGGAACACATAATATTAACTATGTAATAAAGTAAAATATTGTAAAAAAAGAATTTATTGTATCAAATAATTGCATTATCTGTCATGATAACAGTACCTATCAATTTGATTAACACGTTTCTAAGGATCTACAGAACTGTAAATCCTTAGAATTATCTATCTCTGAATACGAATTCACAAAATACCACTAATTAAAATGAGTTTTCTATAAATACTGTGTTTGTCTCATATTTTAAAACAGTAGGTACATACAATTACCCTTTAATGTTTTTTTTATTATTAAGTACTTATACTTATAATACTACTAATTAATAACAGAAAAATAATAGTACCGAATACTTAGAAAATTAAATTCCTCTAACACATTTAAACAGAAGAAATATCGATAGTTCTTAATTAGGGCATTTTCCTCGACAATAAAAATCATTTACCAGCTACAATCAACAAATTTATGTTCAAAAGTTCTGTGCTTCTGGTGACATTTTAGGATTTGCTTTTGCTGCTGTTGACGTATCCGTAAGAATTGACCACTGCAAAAAAATAATGTTTGGTAAATAAATTAAAAGGAAAACATCTTATCTGCATGAAGAAGTTAAGTATGTGCCTGTCCAGATCTCCACATCACGACGTCGTGTCGTCAACGTAAAATGGTGACGGTAAAGGTGCTATCTGAGTTGTCGCAGGCGAGGCCTCGCCGCGCATGGTTGCCAAACGTATGAGAACTTTTACCACGAGATTGAGCAGTCTCTATACATGATACGAGATAATTAGAAATCTGGTACACTTTGATATGAGATTTCAATAATGTTGACTGTTTGTGTCATGTACACAAATCAAATAATTTTTTGACCGGTTACACATCGTTACCGGCACCGTATCACGTTAACGACGTCGTGACGTGGAGATGTGGACAGGCCCTATTATGGAAATCAAAATAGGTAACACACAAAATATTATTGTTACTTAAATTAAAGCCGATGTATCGGTCATGAAATAGTCCGATAATAATGAATCTCCATGATCACTATGTCAAATTTGAAATCGGTTGCTTGCATTTGCAGTAAGACTAAGTAAGCTAAGTACTGTATCGGCATGCCTTCACATAACACCCGTCTCAGCACAATGCTTGCAGTTTGGCCAGATGCAAAAATATGTATGCAATATTTCTTGTAGTATGACATTAGCCTTATGCTAGCACTTCACATGACTTCGTATTTTCTATTTGTTTGGAATGGGGAATGAAAAGTTTATCAAAGTTACGAAAGACTACTTATTCGTCGTATTCGATACGACGTCGAGCCGTGTTTTGTGGCAGATCGTGATATCGGATCGTGTTTTTGTGTATGAAATGAGCCCTAAGTGGAGTGCCAGAATTAAAAGAGACATAAATTAATTTCGTTACAAATACAATCATAACAACATTATTTTTTATATTATTAATATTAACAATGATTACTCTAATGTTAAAAAAATTTAACCTGAGACACTTTGATCCTTCAAGTAATATGAGAGATGAGACTTCCAGTAATCATTGACTTTATAAAGAGTCTGAGCGGCTGTGCTATTATGTAAGAACAAACTCCCTTTTCACCTTGGAATTCGCGGTAAGATTTAAAATTAGAACACGAATTCCAAATCACTCCTGCGGATTCCGCTGTGAAAAGTGGGTTTGTTCTTACAGAGTAACACTGCAGGACAGAATTCTACTTACATTTAAACTGATCTTCGTAATGCAGGAGGCATTTTATAAGTAATTCGCCGGGGACATCAGGCTCTGGCAAAGTTCCTCCGTGCCTTTTCCTGAGTGCAGATTCTTCAATGTGAGCGAGTAACGCCGGCTTGCTGCTGCCGTGGAAGTGAATGCGAGAACGCAGCTTCTCCCGCAAGAACGGCTTGAAGACAGCAAATAGCATGTTGAAGATGTAAGGCTGGTTGATTACGTGCACTGCCTTTAACCGGATCGGGACGCAATCCTGGAATAAATATGTAAGTAATGAAGTATACAGTATTACATGGTGGTCTACGTGCATCAGACGGTTTGTAGTCAGTAAGAGTCGGGCATACCTCTTTAGCCGGCTGCGGAGTATGCATTGAGTTAAAATTCCTAGCTAATTATAGAAACTATTGTGGGTGATGCTAGCAATTCAGATGTATTGTTTTTATACGTATAAGTAAATAGACTGGAAAAATATTTGCTCCGCCGTATTTTAGATACAATCAATGTTTAATATCATCAATAATAATTTCATGGACATCATTAAGGCGTGTGCCTATGTGTGTCAATGAAATTTTGGTCTCAATCGCAAAATCTGTTGTGCTCCATAGCAGAGCTTCTATGCTCTGCTGACTGACCATGCAGCAAACAACAACCATAGAACTTATATATCTATAATTAAAACAACTATACTAACAGTTTGTCTTTTAAACTGATCTTAATAGGTTTTAATTACTATTTGCGTGAATAAGTTGACAAGTAATGTATTTTATGCATTGGCCTTACATATGAGGTCAATGATTATAAGTACCTACTTTTTTTTAATCTTATGTTATTATCACAGAAATAAATGTTATTGTTCTTCAAACTACTTACATCATATATAATGAATGATTGACAGAAATATTAATTTTCCTGTTTGTATCATTTGTGCAGAGTGCCACTAAGGTGAACACAAACTATTAATAAAAAAAAAATTTTTTTCCTTAATTCAATTTATTAAGTCACTTGATAACATAATGTTTAAAGTTTGTGATATTCTTCGATTTTTCTTTACTTATTTAACTACTTACTTCACCTTGGTCTATAGATATATCCAAATTTAATATGATCATAAAATCTGGATGCAAACATATATTATGTTTAAGATCAGCTATTAAAACAATTACTACTACCAAAATTATAAAGAATCGTTTGCGTAGACAATTATCGAGAATTATTATTGCATGACTTATTAAAGCAGAGATCTCCACCTTAATTGCAAGGCATTCCCATTATCAATTAACTTCCACCTTACAGAATCTGAACCCAATAACAAGTTACATTTATACTCTAGGCCACCACAACAGAGATGAGATAAAAACAACAAATTTCAACTGTTTACTAACCAGGGGAGACTCGAACACCTTTTCAATACTCACACCTCGCATGAAGGATGGTCACCTTATCGTAGACTTATGATGACGTGTCTCCACTATGTCACCTGTATCCAATCCACCATCATCTTGGCGAAGGAACATGTAAACTGCATGATTTGTGCGAAGCTCAGGTCTCACATATCTAGGACAGTCACCTTATCATACACCAGCTAACTTGGTACCACTATCTCATCTGTATTTAATTCACCATCATCTTGACGAAGGAAGGTGTAGACGACCTGGCACAGACACGCGAAGATCAGGCCACGCATGACTACAATGGTCAACATAGCGTACATGACTCCACCGTCTCACCTGTATCCAATCCACCATCATATTGGTGAAGGAAGGTGTGAACTTCATGGTTTGTGCGAAGCTAAGGCCACGCATGTCTAGGATGGTCACCTTACCATACACCTATTTACTTGACTCCACTATCTCACCTGTATCCAATCCACCATCATCTTGGCGAAGGAAGGTGTGAACTCCGTTATTTGCGCGAAGCTCGAGCCTCGCATGTCTAAGATGGTTACCTTACCATACACCTATTTACTTGACTCCACTATCTCACCTGTATCCAATCCACCATCATCTTGGCGAAGGAAGGTGTGAAATCCGTGATTTGCGCGAAGTTCAAGCCTCGCATGTCTAGGATGGTCACCTTACAATACACCTATTTACTTGACTCCACTATCTCACCTGTATCCAATCCACCATCATCTTAGCGAAAGAAGGTGTGAACTGCATTATCTGCGCGAAGCTCAAGCCCCGCATGTCAAGAATGGTCACCACGCCGCAGACTTGCGTGCGGGGTTCTACTATAGCTGCTTCCAGGGCCACCTGTATCCCCCGGAATACCTCCGTCAGGGGCACGTCACGGGGATTCCAATTTTCTGATACCATAGAAAATAATTGTGGAAACATTAGTGTTGTTATATTTTTATCAATATTAGTTTAATTCCATTACTCAAGCCTACAGTGCTTACTTTGGGGCTATGCTAAATAGTGTGTGTTTTGGAAATATTTATTTTATTTATTTATTAGTGTTTATCTTGATGCCGTACATCACTTTGATTAACCAAGAAGCTAGTAAACCCCCAACCTCCGTATATTTTTGAGTGGACGTTTATCTAAAGATTTTTTCGTTTCTTAAAAAAATATTTAGATTTGTAAAACGTTAAAAAAAATAAGATACTTAGGTTTTATTTAAATAAATGTAATTTATACCTTTCATTCAAAATTAATGGACCGTGATGTATAAAATATAAAAATAAATAAACTATTAAACCACGTCATGTTTAATTCACTACCAATTAGCATCATGGAAAAGCTAATATTTATCTATTATACGAAAATCCTAAACTTAAGGCAAGAACAGATACGGCGACTTAAAAGGAAAAAAATATTGAATTGAAATGCTAATGACTAGCAAAAATATTTTAACCATGCAAGATGCAAGGACTAAACTTTATGAGTTGTGTCCACAGAACAGCAAAAAAAATCTGTTCACTGTTCACAAATTGTGTGTACCACAAAAAAAACTAAGACATGTTTAACAACTAAGTATAAGTAACTTCTATGTAAAAAAAAATCTAAAACTCACGATGAACGCGTAATTTTTTGGTGGTACTTGTATTATAACTTTTAATATAGGTATATCCAAAAGACGTGGGCACGTGCATTAAAACGACAATAATTTAACGTAAAGTAGTTTTAAAAAACCTATCTATATGTCTATATCTTTAGGTAAATAGTGATAAGCACTCGCTTAATACTAGAAATAAAAATAAATAAGCTGTACCAATTACAAGGCTCCACAAAATCAATAATTAATTTAAAGGTCTTTGTGTACGCTTTTATAATAAAGTCCCTAGCAATATCCCAAAATTAAGCGTCAATAAATTAAAAACTACAATTAAAAGAGTTCTTTTAAATAAAAGAATTTATTTAACGCTGTGAAGTTCTTTTCGCCAGTTTTTCTCCACAGCTAAAAAATGTCCTTACCACCAGGGTAGGGAAAAAATATGGACGATTCAAAAGAGTTGTATTTTGCATCCAATTTGAATAAAGATATTTTGACTTTATCTAGTTGAATTTCGGTTCGATATCTGGACTGGAGTAAAAGAAAGTGAAAAATAAAATAGGAGTACACTAAAATTGGAGTACCTACAGGAGTTCATCATTATCAACTTCCGTCTGAAAACTTGTAGCTACTTTTTCCGGAAAAAATGTTAGACCTACTATTGCTAAATGTTGGGTCGTGTGACTTTCTATGTTATTTGATGTTTTTCTTTAAACGCGTTTACTCTCAGGCGATAATTAGACGTTCAGAATAGAAAATCGGATGGCGACAAAAAATTCATCAGTCAAACTATAACATTATTGTCCCTATTGCTAAGACATAAATATTATTTGTGAATAGAATAATACCGAGCGTTCTGCGGGCCTTAATCAACCACACCGGTCCAGACATCAAGATGTCCACCAGCCACTGACAGCAAAACCAACGGTCTAATAGTCGCCTCGTATTGCAGTTTAGATGCGTTGCTTAGATGACGTGAAGGTATATCTCAAATGTATGAATTCGCACAGCCAATTTCAAAAATTTTGGTGAATTGAAATTTTGGTAATTACCTGACTGTACAAGCAAAATTCGCCGGCCGTGCTGGTCCCGTGGAGACAGCACAGACACGATGGACTTCTCAAAAGTTGAGCGGACTGAACCCGGTCTTAAGTCAAAACAATGCTCAGAATACGCCAGTCTGAATTTGTAGTACGCTTTTATCTAAAACAAATAAAGAAGATAATCAATGAAAATGATTTGATGAAGTAGCGGTAACCTTAAGTTTCATACCGCAGTCTAGACTCGGACACTAGTCTCATAGAAACCTATTATTCAGTTTTAATTTTTAAATGTAATATTTATATTGATGTCCTTAATAAGAAAATAATTCCTACTGATATTAAATTTTTTTAAATTTAATTAAATTCGAAAGTTTTGTGTTTGTATGCTCGTTACTTATTCACGCAAAAACGGATAAACGTATTTGGATGAAATGAAATTTATCACCTGGATTGAGACATAGGATACTTTTAATACCGAAAAAAAACTAAGTTGAGGTTGTACATATGTTGAAATACATGAGGAATTCTCAAAAACTGATGTAAGGGCGGACAAATTCGCAGGCAGCTGCTAGTAACAAATAAAACTGAAAAAAATCTCGTCCAAGCCCAACTCACCCTCTTGAATGCGCTCTCAGCGTAAAACTTGCACGGTCTGAGAAATTTCATCAGAAACTCGTCGTTATCAATTGGCACCGTTAAGCTAGCCTCCCCTGAAACAACAAAATTCAACGTTGAGTCGACCTACACATTCAATAAGTTCGGTACTTTAGCTTCGCTTTTGCCTTGCGCTGTGAATATGAATGTCTCAGATTACAGAACAAAAGGCAGAACCAAAGCAAATACGAAGTCAAAAGCGAATACAAACTCGTGTCAGTACACTACAATGCATCTTGTGGTGAATCTCGTGAATATTCAGTTTTCATTAAAATTGTGCCGCCAGACATAAAAAAAATCTTCAATTTTGATTTTGTATTTGCTTTGGTGGCCGCACTTGCGTGTTCCGTGCGTTCCATCTGCCTTTTGTTCTGTACTCTGGGGTAAATGTGTTGCGATTTGAAAATGGCGCGCTATTATTTACCTATAACTCACGTAAAATTTAAGGTTTGGAAGCTAAATAGGTTTCAGACCGGCCAATACACGTATTAACAGAACATCTAAGGCGGCATGGGATGCGACTACAATGACAGCAGTGAGTGCATATCATCTGCGAGATCTGATTTGATCTTAGTATATTTTTGCTCTATTTAATAAATTTTGTTCATAATAAGTCTAATTCAACGAGTTAATGCAATTAAGTGGCACAGTGCCGTATAGACCAGAGGCCCCTAGCATGAACTTTGACAGCACCGTAACCATATCATATCGCCAAAGATTCTATGAAAACTAAGCAGCGCCAATACCGAACGTAAGAACAAACTGGTTCCTTCCATACAACATTTTACGATGACGATACGATTACGGATCTATCAAAAATCGTGCTTGAGCCTCGGTGTTAAATATCATCACAGTTAGACCTCCTGGAAGGCAAAGTCCAATTCCAATGTACCTATTCTATTTGGTATATAAATAACAAATGTGTGACTAATTCAATCTTAACTACAAATGCAAATAGCCAATTCATACTAAAGTTTTTTTATTTCTTTTATTTATTTATTCCAATATAACATTTAACTAACTTTACGATACATATCTATCGCCAAACTGTTTTCACAGTTTGTAGGCGTTGCGCTTATTTCCATTTTAAAACTATCAATTTAATGACTTAAACTCTATTTTACACAGAAAATATTACTAAAAATCGAGCAGTTACGGTGTTAAAAAAATAAAAATCATATCTATTTTATAATTTATGTTTACTGAAACACTTCTACTTACATAATAAAGAAATTACATATTTAGCTATTAGATACAATTTCATTCTTTTAAATATCATCAACTTAACTATAATTTTATACTCATTATCTATGTATATATAAACCATGTCTTTTTTTTAACTTCCTCTTCATTTGTTTCATTTATTTTAACATATATTCTTTTTAAATTAATTTTTAAAGTGTACTTATTTTAATTTTTGGTTATTCTAATAACAATAAGTAATTATTGTAGACTTTGGATATAACATAATTTCTAGTTCTTTCTCCATAATATTTATTGACTTGACCCTTTTTAATTTTCTATTGCATATGGCACTAGTAAATACTTTATGACTTACTTTTATTTTATGATCATCGCTAAAATACGTATCCAAGGCCACAAGGTACTCAGTTCTGTTTTCTACCGGTAATAATATCTTACAAAATTTAAATAATTGATCATAATCATCTTTGAGTCTAATTTTAACTTTATTCTTCACTAAGTATTTTAGGAATTTGACTCGTATTTTTTTTCTTTGTTCTATATAAGTTTTAAATTTTAAACGTCATACCAAAACAAACTAAACCATAGCTAATAATTGACTCTGCCAATGCATAGTACAACAAACAAAGTTTTCTTATTTAAAGTACTTATAAATGTGAAAGGGTGTTTGTCTGTCTGTGCTCGGTTCAGTGACTTATCGTGAATCATCTCAAGATGAGACCAATTTATAATTAATTAATTCGCATCGGTTCAGTGACTGATTAGAATAAATAAATTATAAATTCCAAATAAAACCTTGTAAATAGCCGATGAGTTTACATGCTAGCAAACTCGCTGGCTTGTAGCTTGTAAACTCGCCCCATGTCGTATTGGATGGTATCATGCTTCGCATTAAAGCAAGGGGCGTCTCTGTATAAATCGGGAAATCACCAATGTTTTATCCAAATTTGAACTATACGGATGCCTTGCCTGCTTAATCACACACGCATCGACATTCATGCCAAACTAGATGCACTAAGAGCATAAACAGCTAGCTAACATAGGCCCTATAATCAACACTTTGAAGATCCGTTTCTGATTGGCATTGGCATTGGCTGTAAGCTTTTTATCGTCGAAAGAGACTATTTAAAACGATGTCACCACAGAGGAATGCCATAAATATTTTTAGTTGATAAAGTTAATTGAAGTTATGGGAAAATAATTTGAAAAAGGAAATTCTCGGTCAGTAGTCGTATTTTGATCTTTTATTCGTTGCGATTTTTTATGTGACAATAATGACATAAGTTGATTTTCATTAACTGGGAAGAAATCGTAAATTACGTAATCAATGCGTGGTTTTTCATAATAAGATTTTTATAGAAACTCAATGTTGCTTAATAAAAGAATCAAGATCGTATTCGGAAAAGCTTAGAGAATTGCCTCACTTAAATTGTAGTGGACAGGTAACATTGTTGTATGATAGCCACAAAGGAGTAAAAAGATTATCGAGTGGTAACCAAGGTGGACTGAGAACCTGATAAGGGGTGACTGACCGGAAGCTGCTGGGTAACACTTATTAAATAGCTCTTTAAAAGCACGAATTCGGCTAAATACATGTGATCAATCTGGCTGTCTAAGAGCAAGGGCAAACATTTGTTAACGGTACGCTGCGGCACCACTTTGGTTTAGATACCACTATTTTCGCCACCAAAACCAAAAAATCGGATAAAAAATCTCTAAAAATTGGAGAACTGCAGTATAGCATATTCAATTTATATACAAAACTAAGTTTAAACGAAAGGAATATAAAAAAACTTTCTAGTTCTGACAAGAAAAACCAAAGACCGACCTACAATTTCAGCCAGCAAAACTTAGGAATTGTCAAATGGAAGACCACCAAAAAGGTTCATCTCGATCTCATTTTCACTATTTGCAAACATTTCAGCACAAGTAATGTAAGTGGGGTGTTTAAATACGACACGTCTCACGTCATCCGGTAATAAGTTATAACACGTTGTTATTTCGCCACCTAAGCTTATCATTTTTCTTGGACAATCTTTGATGCCAAATCATTTGTGTTCTAATAGATAATTAAAATTTAAACAAAGGTTGTTTAAATTTTCAAAAAGTTCGATTCTGGCATGATTCTCTAAACTTAAAACTGAATTTTACACCAGTCTCTCCTTTTCATTCAGTATAGAGAATGATAAGGATACACTGTTGTCATATTTAAGTTTAGGTTTAGAGAATCATGCCAGAATTGACACCGATATGATACTCCAACTACTCAAATTAATAGAGCACAGTCAAGGCGAGTGCATCTTCGAGAAGAAGTAAGCTCAGCACAAGCCACTAAGTACTTAGATAAATCTTATTATCTTTTTTAGTAAAATAAATATTTATAAAAATCGGTTCATTTAGCCACTTACAACTTAGTTGTAGCATGCTAGAAAAAAATCTTTGGACAAAATTACGCTGGGATTCTCAGTCTGGACATGCAAAAAATGCCCTTGTGATATTCACCCAAATAGTTTTATTTTCAAACGATACTAAAGTAACTTTGGCTCACACTTTCCTAATTCCCCCAGTATGGATTGGCTACTTTAAATTTTTCGGCGGTATCTTAATTCTCTACAAAATTGTGCTCAATATTGCGTAAAATGTTGCGCAATGAACATCGTTACATATTGTACTCTGTTTATGCTACTTATTTATGCTCTAAATAATTTTACGAGGTCACATCTCCGGTTCAACTATCGTATTACATTTTACAAAAGCAAAGGGGGTGTGTCTTGTATCTATTTAGCATGTAAGTATTTGAATCTATTTAAGACCTCCGTAATGTTACCAAGATATTTCCAAACTTCAAACTTGACTGTCCTGAATCCATTGTCAATTAAGTCTTTACTATATAACATATTCAGAGATTCTCGGCATGGTATCATGACATGACATTCAACCCTGGTCTTTTACAATTGACCGTCACAAATGGTTCAGTTCCATGTTAAGTGGGAGTATCGGATTTCTCGCTCGAATTTAAGCTTGATCTGAGGAAATCATTTTCAGCTTACCTATTTAGAAAAGAGCAGTCAAATGACTCAGATTACATATTTCTCCATGCTAATGCTTATGGGTTAAGGCGGTAATAAAATTAGGTTTATCTGGCAAGGTAATGGTGTTTGGAGTGGTAATTTTCCGCCAATCTTCAAATTTAAGTGTAAGGAATCCACGGTCACTTTAAAACGAATGAGAACAGAACCATCCAGCTATCTGCGGGCTGTACCAACTATTATGCTGAAAGTTGCTTCAACGGCAGTACTCCTTCCTGAAGCCCAAGCACGAATTTTGACAGATCCGTAATCGAATCATCGTTGTAAAAATGTATATGGAAGCAGCCAGTTTGTTCTTACATCCGATCCCGCTGCTTAATTTTCATAGAAACTGACGTTGAGATACGATTGCTGAAAAGCTTTGCAGCTACGTCTCGCTGCAAAGTTTCTGAGCGATGATTGATTGTTCATAAAAACTTATTTTATTGTATTGTAATGTAAGCGTTGTTTACTATCCACAGTACGTACAGGCTTTGATGATGTACAATACCGTAAGGTTTTTTTTCAATAAAAAATAAAGAAAAGTAAAGAACAAAATTATGTAGTAACTGCAATGATGCCTTGTGTACATCCACATCCGCAAGTTATGAATGGTAGAATAAGGAATCGCACATCCAAAGTCCAAACAATCATGGGACTTAAATACGTGAACTCTGAAAACATTACACTTCTTTTTTGGCAGTCGTGCAAAAAAATTATTTGTTCCATTTCTTAGGAATGTCACATACCTATACATTCAAATATTGCTGGAATACCCAGAACTTATTTGTTAATAGGTTAACTTATTTGTCTAAACAATCCACGGACGATTCATATATCTGTAAATATTATGTCAATTCGAGTATTCGAACTATACATACTGACTTGTTGGAAGTACTATCTATTTACATATAGTCAATACTAATTACTCCCTAAGAATAGAATCGATATGCGCAAGGTCTGCCGTATAATTTCGAACATGTCGTCTTGTTAGATCCAATATCTAAAGTAACTACACTAACTATGTGATTTTGAAAATGAGCTTATGCTGTTTTTTATGTTAAAAGAGTGGCAAGAAGCAAATGGGCCCGCCTAATGATAAACCAATCAATACTTTATTGCGTTCTACAATATTTTCTAGATATTAAAGTACATTGATTTGATCATTGTAGACCCTGAACAGGGCAAAGCAAATAGAGAAGAGGATGCAATCACGATTTGTAATTTAGTTAATAGTAGGTAGATATACAATCGGCAAACGGCCACCATACAATCGGCAAACGGCCACCACGCTTGCATTACCAAAACTATCACTCGCGCCGTTGCCATCCCTAACAAGTTCCCTCCCTCTTACAACCTGGGATCCTTTAAAAGAGGCGTGAATAAGCAACTTGCAGGCCGGCAGGGTGAGGATGGCTGGAGTGGCAGGTAGAACTGCTGTATCAGCTATCTTCGCGTCTGGACTTCACCTTCACTTAACATCAGGTGGGGTGGAGTCATTTGTCAGACCTATCTATAAAAAAATAAATTAAAAAAACCCAATTCCCAACTCCATGGAGCCGGGACTCACTGGCAGTAACACAACATAACAAAAAAGTAGTACCTTTTTACTTTCTGTAAAGGGGATGTTGTTTCCCCAGACGGGCGCCAGCGGGAAATCAGCTGTGCCCTATCTCTCTTTTTGTTTCCTAAAATCAAATATTTTTGTACATCTACAATAACTGGAAATATTATGTTATCATTTAATTTGAATATTTTCCTCTGCTTGCCCTAAACTGGGTTATCTCCGTAAGCTATCTAGGGTCAGTTGCGATCTTTCAAACTAAGAATACGTTGGGGCAATTGGCATAGTTGTTATTATTGGCATGTTATAAGCCAATATTGCTAAATTCTGACACCCTATCCGCCCTTAAGGGTATGACGGTACCTGACGTTAATTTGGTTTTATTAAGTAGAACAGAACCAAATTTCAGGAGACAGTGATAGCTTCCTGCAAATACTTGGTTCATAGTGTTACAAAATTATATTATTTCTAATAAATATATACTTACTGCGGTAGAACGAATGTAAAAACAACTTGCACCTTGTTATTTAGGACCTTGTAAAGAATAAATTCGCAGTTACACGTTAATTGTGCGCAAGTATTTTAATGGCACTACAGACCACAAAATTACATGTAGCCTCATGACGCAGGTATAGTTTTTGTGAACGATACACAAGGCAATATGGCAAGCTAATATCAGGATACATATTCTACAAAAATATACTTAGGTATCATTTCGTCGAAAAAACTTATGTTAGGATTCTTGCACTTATGCAAACTATCTTACATTATCTTACAAGTACGAAGAGGGGACAAATATTGAAAAGTACGTAAGTCTTATGTTGGTTGTGTAATGGGACATTAGGATAATTGATAGATATACATTTATTGATGTATAAAAAAGATTTTTTATTGATATTTACTCGTATATAAACAGCCATGCTTCTGCCAGTCAGAATTTGAACCCAGAACCTCTGAGTAAGCGACATATTTACCGGTGTACATACCAACAAATAAAATGTAATTAAAACGAAAATTTGGTGAACGTACTATGGCGTTTCTTCCTCTAAATACTTACTTAAATTGTGTTTATCGTTCTAGATCTTAATCTAAATGTCGTAAAAATCTTTATGACTTACATTTAATATCCTTCACTGGTTGAGTAAAGACAGAGAGAAGAGAGACATTGATCCTACTTTTTTTATAAATAGGTCCTACAAATGACTCCACCCCACCTGATGTTAAGTAACGGTGGAGTCCAGATACTTATTAGCTTGCATTCTAATAATTAATGACGTAGTCAGAACTTAAGCTTTTGACTCCCAAAACAAAGGCACCCAATTTGAATGTTTCAATGGCATTTCATACGGGTTTAATAACAGTGCACCCAAACATCCCGTCACAGAGGCACTTGTGACTTGTTATCGGTAATCAATTAAAATTATGGACGAAATGATATGTGTAGTCATTTTGCGATATAGACATTAATGAAGGTTATTTACACTGAGACCTAAATAATCTGAGATCAACGCAGATCATAAGCACCCAACGATATTCACATATCTAATATCGTTGTAAGTACCAGAAAACAGAAGTCGCATTGTACTTTTGTAGTTAAGTGGAATGCTGCCAGTAAATTACACATGTACGAAATCTAATGTAATAATTTTACAATTCTTAATTAGTAGTTCAGTACTTGTTAGTTTGTTTCGATGGAGCTGTCATGTCATCAGACAAAAGCTCCTAAACAAAAAAGATAAAAAATAAAATAGTACCAGAAAAAATAAAATACATTACATTTTTACTAAAAGTAGCTTCTGAATACGCATTGCAGACGGTTCGCTTCTCATAAACATTTAATCGGTTCAATTACTGTTAATGAATAGATCGTATACATAGGCACAGATAGTATTCAGTAATGCCGTTTTGATTACTAAACATATATGCCGATTTTGAAGTGTTGGTGTGTATGGATAGAAATCCGAGTGACGCTGGTTATGAAATAATTTTGAAATCAATGTTTTGTTTACTTGGTTCGGCTTTTTAGAAGGACTGTCGAGTTTTTAAATTTAATTTATTATTACTTTTTCAAATTTCACATGACTACTTAATTATTTTATTGTATTTTATTAGGTACCTAATGGTGTCGATTCTGGCGTGACTCTCTAAATCTAAAATTAATTTTGACATCAAATTATCCTTGTCATTCTCTATAAAGAATGAAAGGGAGAGACCGATGTTAAATTTAGTTTTAAGTTTAGATAATCATGCCAGAATCAACACCATTAGTTAAGACTAAAATAGAACAAGTTTTTCTTATTATATTTTTATTTATATATATTTTTATTTATAAAAATAAATCCACTCAGTCTATGTTTCAAACGGGATTCGAACCCGAATCTTCCGCTCCTGTGCGACCGTCTAGATAGGGAAAGATCGAATCCCGTCTGAAATCTGGACCGAGTCGAATTTTTTCGGGTAAAATTTTCTGTTTTTTTTATTGATAAAAAGGTCCGAATGTATCTTCTTTACTTAATATTAATGTAGGAGAGTGAGTTAGATATGAAGTGAGAAGATAAAATGCACCGGCGCCGCTAGTAAGAAGTGCCGGACCTGCATCTTGTCTGCTATAATGTATTAGAAAGAAAGCAGGCAGTAATCACTGAAGACAGAGAGAACGTAAGAGCAATTAAAAGTAAGTTAAGGCCTAAGTGCAATTACGCATTCTATAATAAAAGTAAACTTATCTGTTTTTCATTTGTCAGGAATCATTTTGTTCGATAGTACCTATGCTTCTTTATGACTATTTTAATGGGCCGAAATCTCAGACGAAGGAAAAACTAAGTCTATTTCTATTGCTAACGTTTTTTGCTTGTCTCGAACACAAGGATAGTGGTAAAAAAATTTAACTAAAATACCGGATAAATATACAAACAACCATGAATCTAAGATTTGCATGCAACGCAATTACCACAACCAAATTCGTACCTACTTGCCTCCTAACACTAACCAATTATAAAGATTCACAATAATATGTCACTAGGTATTCCTTTCAAAGGCAAGGCAAAGACAGGGTAGGTAGGCGAACTGGCCGCCGAACACCAACTCGGCATGCCCCTAAATATCAGCTGTTGTGGCTTTCAACAGGTATAAACTCTTCGTGTATTGAAGAAATTAAAAGTTACATCGCAAACAGAGAAGTCCACTTTTAATATTATTAACGAGTTATAACAGGAAAAAATGTCTTCTCCTAATTTTAATTGGGATTTTGTTTTAATCTAAAGGATATTGCCGTTGTACCCACCAGCGGGGCTATTCTGTAAAATGTTCACGAATTTATATGGGAAAAGCACGTGAAAATTCTACAGAATACAGAATATTGGTTTCGATTGACAACAGCGGGCTTGTTTAGCGGGAGATTGTCAATCGAAACCAATTCTCCGGTTGACTAGTAAAGAATGCCTCATGGTATTAAGGCCGCCATTTGTATTAAACATATTTGTGCATTAAAGTTTAAAAGATTCTATGAGCTTTTTTAACCAATAAAAAGAAAGAAAAGAAATTCCTGTTTTCGGAGCATCCACCTCACATTCCAGCAATCAAAAGGAAACAAAATAATCTACAGATAAATTAGACATCATTAAGATAGTGTAATCTCTCTTAGTTATATTAAATTATCTACTAATTAATTGATTCATTATCTAAAAATTCAACACAGTTGCAAATCAACAACAAAACATTATTGGTATCATCTAAAGGTAAACAAATTTGGACATTTTCTGTTAAGACCGTTTCTCTTTTTTTTCAGTAATCATATTTTGCCTCTCTCTTATGTTGAACACCATCGTCAAATAGAAGTTATATACATAAATACGATTATCATACTTCCTATTACATAAAAAGCACTATTGTTCTTTGCGTAGCTTACACAATATTTTACCTCTTAAAAGTTGCCTAAGCTCCTCCAAAGCCGCCTTCACAATTTCTGGCTCTTCTCTCAGCTCTTTCGCAGCCTTTTCTTTGTACGATTTCTCAGTCAACGGCATGTTTTCTAGTTTCATTTTATTTTTACCCCACATAACATAGGGTGCTCCGTCACTATCAATTTCTAACACCATCTTGATTTCTTCCATTTTGATTTTATAGAACAACAAAACAAAAAAAAACTTTTATAACCGTTTCTCCTGCGCAAACTTATCCCACACACACTTTCGAATGGACTAAAACATAACAATTTTATGCTATTTCGTAAATCTTAGTCCCTTCACTTGCATTTTAACTTCGCAACACGACACGTAGGTAGGTATACGATACCTTTCTTATAATAAGTAACAGTTCGTTTGAGCTTTTAATAAAATAACGCGTAATGTATATGAAATTTAATCACTTCTCGGACTGTTGTGATTTGTACTACGTTTGCAAGCGATTTGATTGGACGAATGAATGTACAGTATCAATTGGCCGCTTCGAGCCGACTGTGACGATCGGCGCTGGCGGCGACCAACTTCTTAACGGTATCCCACCAGCGCTGCGCCATGCTTCCGAGTTGAGTTGATACTCGTTATGCTTTACGTCATCGTGCGCGGGCTCTCTCTCTCTGGCTGGTCTTATGGACCACAAGCAGTTTTATGAAACAAGATGTTATGTCGTCGGACAATACTCTCTAGTGATATATAGTTCATTCGCGTTAAGAAAATAGTGACTCATCACCGACTGCCGGCCAAGCCACGCCCCCTAGCCAATTAAAACGCTAGAAATTAGTAAGGCGAGTTCACAGTGCTCAGTTGAAGTCAGACCTTCGAACTGATCGGTTGTGTATTTTGCGTACTACTTGTTTAAAATTAAATTTGGAAAATGGATATCTCACCTATTAAAAAAAATAAAAGTGGATCAATTATACATAGCGGAGAGAGACGCGTAATTTACAATGTTTATAAATATTTCAAACAGATTGATTTAAATGAGACTGTGGAGAGCATAGTAATTAAAACTGCAAGTGCATGCGGTGTGTCCGAAAACACTGTTTATAAAATTATAAAAGAACAAAAAGAAACGAATACATTGAAATCACCTGTGAAAAAAAGAGCTCGACTATCCACGGTCGATAAATTAGATGAACTAGACAAATGTGCAATAAGGAGAAAAGTACACTCTATATATTTAAATAACGAGTATCCAACATTGGACAAAATAATAACACTTTGCGAAGCTGATGAAGATATTCCTGTTTTCAAACGTACAACACTTATCAAAATACTGCACGAGCTTGGTTTTGACTTCAATAAACAAGATAGTAGAAAATTGTTAGTGGAAAGAGAAGATATTGTTTTATGGAGGCGAAAATATTTAAGACAAATAAAAGAATATAGAAACGCTAATAAAACCATTTACTATCTCGACGAAACGTGGGTAAACGCCGGACACGTAAAAACAAAAGTGTGGTTGGATACAACAATCAAGAATAAAAGACAAGCTTTCCAAGATGGCTTATCAACCGGCCCAAAAGCTCCGACAGGGAAAGGGAAAAGGTTAATTATATTGCACATTGGCAGCGAAAAAGGATTCCTGGAAGATGGTTTACTAGTCTTTGAATCTAAATCTACAAAAGATTATCATGAAGAAATGGATGGTGAAAGATTCCTTAATTGGTTCAATGGTATAATACCGAAGCTTGAACCAGGAAGTGTGGTTGTCATGGATAACGCTCCCTACCATTCGGTAAAAGTTGAAAAAATACCCACGGCCAGTTGGAATAAGCAGCAAATACTAGAGTGGTTGCAAAACAAAGACATATCTATGGATATGAGTTATTTGAAAAAAGAATTATTATTGAAAGTCGCCGAAATCGCCCCACAATATAATAAATATTTAGTAGATGAGACTGCTAAAAACAAAGGCATTACAATTCTTCGTCTGCCGCCTTACCATTGTAAATTAAATCCGATTGAAATGGTGTGGGCCCAAATAAAAAATTATATTGCTGCGAATAATACTACATTCAAAATGAGTGACGTAAAAAAAAAATTTTATGACGCAATCGCGTTAGTAGACGCCAATCGGTGGAAGAAATGCTGCGACCACGTGATACGCGAAGAAAATACCATGTGGGGTTTGGATGACGTCATGGAACATGCAGAACAAAATTCATTCGTAATAAATGTAACGGGAGAATCTAGCGATACTGATTAGCGATTTAAGTACTTAGTTTTAAGACAATTTTGTATTTTTTTATTTTAGTACTTATTACGATTAATCCAAATATGTGTTACTCTACTAATATAGCGTTTAAGTTGACATTAAAAATTACCTTAATAGGAATATTTTAACATGTTTAAAATCATTGATACTTTATTATTTTTCTATTAAACTTATTTAATGTTTTGAAAAAAAATGTTTAATTTTTTCTCCATTATGAATACACCCTTACCCTGCAGTTGCACTGATGAGTCACTATTTTCTTAACGCGAATGAACTATAGGTACCCCATGCATTCTTACATCACTGAACCACGGTGACGGTGGCACAATATTTTTTTATAGTACTGCAAAGATATGAACGTACTTATAATCTTAAAAGACCGTATGTATTCATTCAGTGTTTCGGTGTTTTTAAAGTGATACTTTTATTGTTATAAAAGTATCACTTTTATGTTGCGATGTTTCGCCATAACATTTTAAGTTCATTTTAGCATGTTGTTTTATATTATTAAAAAATCACATCTTATCAACAAACGCAATAGTAAAAAACTTGCCTGCTACGCTATAGTTTACACACTTTTTTGTATTATCGCCAAAAGGAGCGCGGACCGTATTTGATTCCAAGCTGAGGAAGGACTTTTATTATTTATTAATGCTTTTAAAAGTTGTTTTTCTACACTTGCAGATCAATATAATAAGATGGTTTACTTACGTACATTAACATAAAACTAGGATTTAGTGTCTGAAAAAAACACCGAGATAAACATAATAAGCTTTAAGGTATTATTAGATTAATAAGCTAACTCTGAGAGTTAATTATTGTGGATGACATCCATAGAAATAAACTTAATTATTACGTAGGTACCTACTCATACCATTTATAGTAATTTATAGTTGACCTTGATCTTGACGCGTTACAACAGCGATTAGGTAGTAGGCTCATACGTACATACATGCTATTTTGTGGGATCTATCATCAGTAATATATGGTTTCCTTTTCGTACATATATTATTTTATGATTTGTAATTGCACAGAATATCAGGTACGTTATTTTCTATCCAAACGGTATGTTATTTGAATGTATGTTCTTATGTGCCTTCCTATGTAGTTAAGAAACAGTTATTCCATAAATAGTAATTTCAGCTTAGTAGCTCAAATTTAGTTTGTTCAGACTTTTTCAGTAAGATTTAGTTTTCTTCCACTTTTTTACACATTACTGAGTTTTTGAACATAGAACATATTATGTTACCATCACTGATATTACCACAGACTCAATAAAGACAACGGTACATATAGATACTGTTAAATCGCCACATTATTTCTCATTGTTTGAACAAATTAGGTCTTATATCTCTGGGTAGTTCTTATTATTTAACCCATTTTTTAGGAAGTGTAAATAGACCTGCCACAGAATGAAACATATCCTTTCTGTAGAACAAGAAGTCAAATAAAAATATGACGATTTTCTATACATACAAACTTTTGAAGTCCCCGTCAAAAATGATGGAACAGCACGACTAAGCTTTAAAATTTTCACGCACGGTTCCGATGTGGATCCACGCGGATTTATATCGGAACCGCGCGTGAAAATTTGACAGAATAGCACTGCAGGGTCTAGCTGCGAATCTTTTTCACTTTCTGCCATTCCTCCCATTCCATAGTCGGAAAAGTTGTCAAATATTAGCTTCGAAGGAGTTCAATAAATCTAAAAAATCCTAATCATTCATTAGATATATGTATCTTTTTTCATAAGGTTTTACGAATCCCCATCAATAACCGTCTATGATAAATTTTACCTACCTCTTTAAGTGCTTTCAAAACGTTAGAAACGAAAATGTGACTTTTTTGATTTTATCCTTCAAATATGTGTTGTGATCAATTGTGCAATGTCTTGAATAATCGTAATGTGAATACAATAATTTAGATTTAATATTGGATTAGAAAATAACTTACGAATCTTAAGTGGCTACAAACGAAACAGGACACGGTGACGATTTACACAACAGTAAATTGACGCAGGTAGCTGCACCTATGTTGAAATTCGATGCAACCGCTACTTAAGAACAAGTACCTACACTGACAGCGTTTTAAATTGTTCCATTTCATATCATTGGGATCTTTAAATATCTATCACAAACTAGGTGTCTAGGTACTCTTAGTCTAGCCCTAAAGTAGCTTAGCACTGTAATGCTTGTGCTATGTGATACTAGGGTATCGGTTAGAGAAATATTACAAACAACTTAACTGACCTTTTATACATTAGATACAAAACAATAAAGAACAATAAAACATAAATACATTATTTATTTATTTAATAGGTACACAAACAGAGTGCAGTTATCACATGGTTAAAAAACATAAATCTGGTATAAATCTAAACTACCATCCAAAACAGTGTACACAGCAAATAAAATTATGGTAAAATAAAAGCAAAACAAAACTTTAAAACTAGGCTAAATCGTTTAACACAGTTAATAAAACGAGGTAATAAAAATAAAATAATAAATAGCTCTACCTAAATTTTGATTTAATATGTTATACACTTCTGGACACATCTATTGGACCACCTTAGAGTTTAGGTTTCGATGGCCCCTACCGAAATATGATTGCTAGTTTGCTAGATTGAACAAAAACTGTTGATGCAGTTTTAAACCTGATACATTTTACCATCTTTTTCGAACGTATTGTTTTAAATTTGAATTCAGAATACCATACGACATTGAGCTACGCCTAACAAGTCGGATATGCGCCTTGTTAAAAAAGGCAATTGATTTTTGAATAAAAAACATGTTTTATCAAATAAAGGTTTAATTTAATAACTCGTGTTGCCTGCATGGGCATCTACCACAGCTCTCATACGATTAGGCATAGAGTTTATCAACCGCTCTATGAAATTTTGAGAGATCATCTCCCATTCCTCTTCTATGGCAGTTTTCAACTCCTGCATCGTCTGGGCAACTGGCTAACGAGCCCTAACACGTCTTTTTAGCTCGTCCCAAATGTGCTCAATGGGGTTCATGTCTGGGCTTCTGGCTGGCCAGTCCATAACTGTGATGTTCTTTATCCCAAAGATATTCCCTGACGATGCCGGCCGCATGGGTTCTTGCATTATCATGCATAAAAAGGAAATTTGGGCCCACATAGTCCGCGTATGGTATCACGTGAGGTTCTAAGCACTCACGAATGTACCTTTCAGCATTTAATGTTGGCAGCCGTGGTCCTGTAACAACCTCAAGTTGAGTTTTGCCGCTCGCGGATATACCGCCCCAGA